GCCGTCCTCAACTTGAAGCACCGGGAGCGTTTATCTTTTCCTGAGGTGAGACGCCAGGTTCGCCGGCTCCCGCCTTATGCTAATATCTCTTATGCACGCGTGTTGCACTCTTCCTCTCCTCGTCCTTCCCGCCTTCCTCAGACTCACAACCGTTTCCGGGCCTTGGACCCTGATGCGCCCACTGCCCCCTCCTCTGTTCCTTTGGGTTCTCTCCCGAAGGATCCTCCTCCTGGTCCTCTGTCTGGGGTTCCCCTTCCTTCTACCCGGTCTGTCGTGTCTCCTGTGTCTTCTTCCTCGTCTCCCTCCGTTCCTCCTTCCCATCCTTCCCCTCCGTCTCTTGACTCTCCCCGCCGCCTGTCGGTGCGGGCTGATGTCCATCGCTCTCCAAACGGCCGTCATGTGTGCTCTCGTTCAGCTTCTCCTGTTGAGACGCTAGAATCCGTTGCCCAGTACATGGTTGCTGGGACACCTGTCTCTTTACGTCAGAAGCGTAAACCTTACTCCTCTCCTTCCTCCTCCCCGGCGGGTAAGAAGGTTTCGCTTTCTTCCTCGGCCCCTACTTCTGCCTCTCTCGCTCCTTCCCCTCCCATTTCGGTGGTTGCGCCCCCTGTTCCTGCTATGGAGGTTTCTTTAGCCCCCACTTCCCACTCAGTTGCTGCCCTTGCTGAGGTACGCTCCCCTCTTTCTACCCCTCCTCTTCCTGCTGCTGTCCTTGCCTGCTCCTCTCCGTTGTCTCCTCCTCTTCCTCCTTTTCCTCCTCCTCCTCCGGACCCCGCCCGCCCACCTCTGATCTGTTCTCCCGTTTCCTTCCCTCCGTCTTTGCTCAGTTTACCCATGCCCCCTAACCCTGACTTTGCTGACCCTGATCCCGATCCTGATATTCTTTAACGTGCTCTGTTGCTCTTTCACCTTTGTTTCTTCCTTGTTCTCTGTTTTTGTCCTTTCTCTTCTCGTCGTTGTCCATTCTTCAATGGAACGTTCGAGGTTATTACGCCAATTTCCTAGAACTCCAACTTCTAATTTCGCGGTTTTCGCCCCTTTGTGTCTGTCTCCAGGAGCCGATGCTTGGTGCTCGTCCTGGTCGTTTTCGTGGCTATTCCTTTCTCTTCCCCCCCCCAGCCGTTGCTGGGGCTTCTAATTCTTCTGCTCTCTTGATTCGTGCTGATGTTCCCTTTGTCCCTTTGTTTTTTTCCTTCGACTCTCTATTGTTCTGCTGCTCGTATCTTTGTGGAGAAATGGTACACAGTTTGTTCCATTTATCTCCCCCCGAGTGTCCCGCTTCCTCTTCCTGATTTGAAACACCTCATAGACTCCTTGCCGGAGCCTGTGCTCCTGCTGGGTGATTTCAATTGTCGTCATTCTCTTTGGGGTGACGTTCTGACGAATACCCGGGGTCGCCTTCTTGAGCCGTTTCTCCTCTCTTCTTCCCTGTCTCTTCTGAATTATGGTGAGCCCACTCATTTGGACTCTCGGACTCAAACCCTTTCTTGTCTTGATCTTTCTCTCTGCTCTTCTTCTCTTTACTTAGATTTCACGTGGCAGGTTCTTGATGACCTCCATGGAAGTGATCATTTCCCCATCCTTGTTTCCTTTTTCTCTTTTCGCCCTTCCCTCTCTTTCCCTAGGTGGCAGTTTGCTAAGGCGGACTGGACCCTATTTACCCTCAGTGCTGCTCTCTCTGACCTCTCCCTTCTGCCTCTCTCTCGCGCTCTCCTCCTTTTTCATGACAGTCTTCAACGCTGCCCTCCGCTCTATTCCTCGCTCTTCCTCTCGGGGTCCACGGAAGTGCGTTCCCTGGTGGAATGCGGACTGTGCTCGAGCTGTCCGCTGTAATCGTGCAGCCTGGAAGAGGCACCGCCGTAGGCAGACGACCGATTCTTTTCTTTTCTTTCGGAAAGCGAGTGAGGTGGCTCGTAGGGCCATCCGTACGGCTAAACGTAAATGTTGGGCATCTTATGTCTCAACAATTACGTCCGAAACTCCTCTGGCCCAGATCTGGAAGCGTATCCGCAAGATAGCGGGTAAATTCGTTCCCGATGTTTCACCGGTCCTTCACCTCCATGATACTCTTGTGGCGGACCCGTTGCAGGTCGCTTCCGTACTGGGTTCCCACTTTTCTTCTGTTAGCTCTGGTCTACATCTTCCCCAATCTTTTCTTCTTCGTAAACCTGTCCTTGAGTCTCGTCCTTTAGATTTCTGCACTCGTCTTCAACTTTCCTATAATGATCCCTTCTCTCTCTCTGAACTTCGTTCTGCTTCGTTCTTCGTTCATTCTGTTTAAGGGGCCTCGTAGCCTGGTGGACAGCGCGCAGGACTCGTAATTCTGCGGCGCGGGTTCGATTCCCGCACGAGGCAGAAACAAATGGGCAAAGTTTCTTTCACCCTGAATGCCCCTGTTACCTTGCAGTAAATAGGTACCTAGGTGTTAGTCAGCTGTCACGGGCTGCTTCCTGGGGGTGGAGGCCTGGTCGAGGACCGGGCCGCGGGGACACTAAAGCCCCGAAATCATCTCAAGATAACCTCAAGATAACCTGCCCTGGCCCTCTGCGGTTCTACTGCGGCGGGCTCTGACGGTATTCATTATGAGATGCTTCGCCATCTCCCTCCGTGCATGTCTCAGTATTTACTGAGTCTGTATAATCGGATCTGGGAGTCGTCGTCAGTCGCTGAGGACTGGCTCGATGCCGTTGTCCTCCCTGTTCGCAAACCGGGGTCTCTGGGTACTTCCCCTAAGTACTTTCGCCCTATTGCTCTCACAAGTTGTGTCTGCAAACTCTTTGAACGTATGGTTAACGTTCGTCTGATGTGGTTCCTGGAACACCATCACCTCCTCTCCCCTTCTCAATTTGGTTTCCGCAAGTGCCGCAGCACGACAGATGTCCTGGTGAACTTGGAGGTCTATATTCGTACTGCTTTTGCTGCGAAGACCTCCGTTGTTGCCGTCCTTTTTGACCTGGAAAAGGCTTACGACACCACTTGGAGATATCATATTCTATCTCAACTTCATTCTTTTGGCCTTCGTGGTCATCTCCCTCTCTTTCTCCGCAGCTTCCTCTCCCGTCGTTCCTTTCGGGTGTGCCTTGGTACCGCGCTCTCTGCCTCTTTTCAGCAATACGAAGGTGTGCCCCAGGGTAGTGTTCTGAGCACTACTCTCTTTCTGGTTGCACTCAATGGTCTTCTTTCCTCTCTTCCTTCTGGTGTCTTCTCCGCTCTCTATGTCGATGATCTTACCCTTTGCTGTCAGGGTGATGATTCGCCTCTCCTTCAGCGCCGGCTTCAACTTGCAATTGATGCCGTGTCGTCTTGGGCCACTGATCATGGCTTCAAGTTCTCTACTTCTAAGACTTGTGCCATGACTTTTATGCGGAAACGGGTTGTTCTTCGTCCCTCTTTGTCACTTTATGGTCATCCCCTTGAATACAAAGATTCCGCAAAGCTTTTGGGGTTATTCCTTGACACTCGTTTGTCTTGGTCTCCCCATATCTCTTACCTCCATGTTGAGTGCTCTAAGGCCCTTACCCTCCTTCAGGTATTGTCCCATACTTCTTGGGGGGCAGATAGGCACACTCTCCTTGCTTTACATTCCTCTCTCGTCCTGTCTAAGCTCGATTATGTTTACCCTGCTTACTCGTCTGCTTCTCCTTCTACTTTTCGCCGTCTTGATGCTGTGTACCATACTGGGTTGCGCCTCAGTTCTGGTGCCTTTCGTTCGACTCCCATCCTTAGCTTGTATGTTGACACTGGCTTCTTGTCTCTCCAGGACCGCTCTGATGGCTACTGTCTTCGCTATCTTTCACGGCCCTTACAACATCTTTCCTCTCACCTCTGTCGTGCTTTAACTTTTACCCCTCCTGCGGTTCCTGTTCCTCTTCACCACCTCCCTCTTTCTGTCCGGTTATCTCGCCTGCAGGATTCTCTTTCCGTTCGTATTTCTAATGTTTCTCCTCGTGTTGTTCCTTCTTTGCCCTCATGGAGAGTCCCTCTTCCGCAGTTTTGTACTTCCTTGACCCGTATCACTAAAGCTTTTACCCCTCCTACGGTTCTAAAATGCCTTTTCCTTGAGCACTTTTCTTCTCACTCCCGCTCCGTTTCTGTCTTCACCGATGGGTCTAAGTCTGCGGACGGTGTTGGCTACTCTGTTGTTTTTCCTGATCGCACTTATATGTGTCGCTTACCTCCGGAGACTAGCATCTTTACAGCGGAACTTTATGCTATTCTCTATGCTCTTCGTCTCCTGCTTTCTCATTGTCAGTCCTCCTTTGTAGTTGTTGTTGACTCTCGTAGTGCCCTCATGGCTCTCGGGTCCTTTAATCCGGTTCATCCAGTAGTTGTAGAGATCCAGCATTGGCTGTTTCTTGTTCACAGTAAATTTAAGTCGGTTGAGTTTTGTTGGGTTCCCAGCCATATTGGTCTGTCTTTAAATGAGCGTGCGGATGCTGCCGCCAAGGAAGCTGTCCGCTCTTGTCCCATCTCTCGTAAAGGCATTCCGTATTCAGACTTTTACCCGGTTATCCATTCCTCAGTCCTTACCCGTTGGCAGGCTTCTTGGTTGTCTCTTACTGGTAACAAGCTACGTACTCTTAAATGTTGTGTTTCCTCGTGGCCGTCCTCCTTCCACCGTAACCGGCGGTGGGAAATAGCTCTGGAAATAAAATAAAAAAAACTGTGAATAAATAAGCAAACAAAAAATGTATTACAACGTATTGTGTTGAATTGTGTTGAAGTGTGTTCCATTCATCTAGGCTGTATGAGACTCGAACCGTGACCCCTCGTGTGTGAGGGTGTGAGGCTGACGCTCCATCAAACTGGAATTTCCTTATCAAGACTACTCATAGCCCAGTCGATAGAGCTTCGGCCTCACACACGTGGAGTCACGGTTCAAGTCTCATACAGCCCAGGTGAATGGAATGTTTATTTTCACAGAAGTGTGGATGACAATTGATTAGAATTATGTTGCTGTATTTTTGCAATATGTTGCATAACGATGTATTCCCGTGCAGGACTGGCACTCAGCCCCGTGTCCGAGGACAGGTCTGGCCTGCAAGGGCGACTGCCGGCCCCACCAGGTAGAGTACCACCAGGCAACTTGCTCCCTGTTCCTTGTTACTGCTACTACCGTCACACACCACCAAGCAACATGCTCCCTGTTCCTTGTTACTGTCACTACCGTCACACATCACCAGGCAACATGCTCCCTGTTCCTTGTTACTGTCATTACCGTCACACATCACCAGGCAACATGCTCCCTGTTCCTTGTTACTGTCACTACCGTCACACATCACCAGGCAACATGCTCCCTGTTCCTTGTTACTGTTACTACCACCAGGCAACATGCCCCCTGTTCCTTGTTACTGTCATTACCGTCACACTCCACCAGGCAACATGCTCCCTGTTCCTTGTTACTGTTACTACCACCAGGCAACATGCCCCCTGTTCCTTGTTACTGTCATTACCGTCACACTCCACCAGGCAACATGCTCCCTGTTCCTTGTTACTGTTACTACCACCAGGCAACATGCTCCTTTTTCCTTGTTACTGTCATTACCGTCACACATCACCAGGCAACATGCTCCCTGTTCCTTGTTACTGTCACTACCGTCACACATCACCAGGCAACATGCTCCCTGTTCCTTGTTACTGTCACTACCGTCACCCATCACCAGGCAACATGCTCCCTGTTCCTTGTTACTGTCACTACCGTCACACATCACCAGGCAACATGCTCCCTGTTCCTTGTTACTGTTACTACCACCAGGCAACATCCCTGGAAACACAAACTGAAACCGTCTCCAATTTCCGCTTGTTACAACTTGTAATAAAGTTGTTATATCTTGGCTTAACGTGTTTATGACGTATTAGAACGTTGTTATAACTGGTTAGGTGTCAAAACTTGTTCGAACGTTGTACCAACGTCGTAGATTCGGTGTGTGTTTGTCGGGATGCTCCCTGTTCCTTGTTACTGTCACATATCACCAGGCAACCTGTTGCCTGTCCCTTGTTACTGTCATTACCGTCACAAAACTTATCACTCACAACATTTAAACTTGTGGCATTAACACCAATATTTACTTTAGGAAGACACACATTAGTGACATCTCTCAATACAAAACAAATATAATTATTTTTATTAGACATTCCATGAATTATAGAAATGACAATATACTCATAATTATATAAATACCAATAAATATACTCATAATTATAGCAACACCAATAAATATATACCCATAATTATAGCCATAATTTATGCAATTTTTTTTTTATATATACAAGAAGGAGCATTGGGTTTATGAGAGTACATAGCATTGATGTTTTTACATTTTAACAAACCCACTAACATGGCTAGCGTTTCGAGAATATACTAATAATAATAACAATTACTATAAATATACTCACAAATATTGCCATAATAATAAATATACTCAAAATTATAGAAAAAAATATATATATGCTCAAAATTATAACAAATTATATACTCATAATTATAGCAATATCAATAAAGATGCTTATAATTATAGCAATCACAATAAATATTTATAATTATAGCAATATCACTAATTATAGTGCAATTGTAATAACATTAATTTATCAGTTATAAAAGTAATATGAAATATATTAGATATGAATAATATTAATCATTATATTGTAATATAGAGGACATTGACAACACTGTGTCACGCCTGCATGACAAAGTTGCCACGCCCAGTGTGGCAAATGTGTCACGAAGATCGTGGCAAAAGTGCCATGCTGGACGTGGCAACAGTGCCATGCTGGATGTGGCAACAGTGCCATGCTGGGCGAGGCAATAACCAGCTTTACACACATTTCAGAAGGCGGGAGGGAAGGTCGCCTGCCAGCAGCGCCTGCCAAGGACGCTCCAAGTGAAGGGCTCCACATGGCACGAGCCCTCCACCCTACAGGTGAGTCTCCTCCCTCTTGCTGCATGGTCTACCACCCGTGTCCCTCCCTCTCGCTGCATGGTCTACCACCCGTGTCCCTCCCTCTTGCTGCATGGTCTACCACCCGTGTCCCACCCTCTTGCTGCATGGTCTACCACCCGTGTCCCTCCCTCTTGCTGCATGGTCTACCACCCGTGTCCCTCCCTCTTGCTGCATGGTCTACCACCCGTGTCCCTCCCTCATGCTGCATGGTCTACCACCCGTGTCCCTCCCTCTTGCTGCATGGTCTACCACCCGCGTCCCTCCCTCATGCTGCATGGTCTACCACCCGTGTCCCTCCCTCTTGCTGCATGGTCTACCACCCGTGTCCCTCCCTCTTGCTGCATGGTCTACAACCCGTGTCCCTCCCTCTTGCTGCATGGTCTACCACCCGTGTCCCTCCCTCTTGCTGCATGGTCTACCACCCGTGTCCCTCCCTCTTGCTGCATGGTCTACCACCCGTGTCCCTCCCTCTTGCTGCATGGTCTACCACCCGTGTCCCTCCCTCTTGCTGCATGGTCTACCACCCGTGTCCCTCCCTCTTGCTGCATGGTCTACCACCCGTGTCCCTCCCTCTTGCTGCATGGTCTACCACCCGTGTCCCTCCCTCTTGCTGCATGGTCTACCACCCGTGTCCCTCCCTCTTGCTGCATGGTCTACCACCCGTGTCCCTCCCTCTCGCTGCATGGTCTACCACCCGTGTCCCTCCCTCTTGCTGCATGGTCTACCACCCGTGTCCCTCCCTCATGCTGCATGGTCTACCACCCGTGTCCCTCCCTCTTGCTGCATGGTCTACCACCCGCGTCCCTCCCTCATGCTGCATGGTCTACCACCCGTGTCCCTCCCTCATGCTGCATGGTCTACCACCCGTGTCCCTCCCTCATGCTGCATGATCTACCACCCGTGTCCCTCCCTCATGCTGCATGGTCTACCACCCGTGTCCCTCCCTCTTGCTGCATGGTCTGTGGTCTACCACCAACAACAAGAGCAGTAACAATAGTAGCAGCAGTAAGAACTGCAACAGTAGCAGTAGTAACAGCAGCAACAGTAATAGCAACAGTAACAACAGCAATAATAGCAGTAGCAGCAGCAGCAATAGGATCAACAGTAGCAAAGGTGTTACGGTCACGAATGACCTGTAACCGGTTTCTTGATGGATGAACCTTGTTTGTACTATCCGACCACAAGCCGGTTGTACGCTTTCAAGATTTGGCTATATAGTGCAATGAATGAATAATGAAGGGGATGAACAAAACACTATTCCCTTCACCAATATGGTTACCCTTAAACCCTTAAATATAATAAATAGACTATTACTACACTTATGTACATCGGTATCTCTTTCACTCAGGACACCGGGCACTCACATGGAGAGTCCATCAACCCCAGCATTTTCCCCACACAGCACCTTGTCCAACAGTATTGGGAAAACACCGGCGAGTTCACCTTTTACGTGGGCCAGTTCACTGATGCAGGGACCTAAACCCCGCGACCACTCTCCAGCCACTCGCCTGCCAAGGACCTCAGTCAGACAATGATGGGGTCACACAATGATCTGGGTCACACAAAACAACCAATACAGGGGTAGAAGCCTCTTGCGACCGGCTAGCAGCACTTCTACAAGCACCTCACTGTCGTCTTGAACTCTTAAGCCAATCCCGGGATACGCTGATCTCTACAAACACTTGCATCAACTGCAGCAAACACACTGCGTTGATCGGCGGCAGCTTACTTGGCCATCTTCCAGGACTGCCAAGTAATGTCGAGAGCACTGGACTGCCCAAAGTAAACTGCCATCTTTAGTGCCGCTGGTGGCCCACGTCACCTCTGTGGACTCAAACACGTCATCAGTTACATGGACGGTACTGGTGAAACCAGGAAGCAACACTTACCCTCTGGGGAGTTGACATTATGCATGTAGTACAACTTAGGTGGCGCTGATCTTGGTCCGCCACCTCATCATCAGATGTCATCCACAACGACCTCTGTGTCTAGCCAAGGCAGGAAACCAGAGCCATTTGCCGTGGTCACGCCACCACCAATAGATGGCGTTGCCTACGTAGCGTCCAATATCAGGGGGGTTGGAGTGCAGACTCTTAGATGGCGCTGGAATTACCACGCCACACTCAGACGGTGGTGACGAGGCCGTAACAAAGGGCCTTTATGAATATACTAACAAAGTTGTCTTCAAATATTTCCACAGGAGCTGTACGACACTCTGGCAGCACTCCCAGACGGTACGCTATACACTCTCGTGTCTGGCAACACTGGGCAAGGTGAGCTATCATGTACCCTTGTAATTGGCAATACTGCTTAAGGTAACTCTCGTGTCTGGCAACACTGGACAAGGTGTTGATATTGAAAAATATTTTTTATATAGCTTATAATTCTGACTTTTTTGAGACTTGAAATATTTATGTATTTCACGTATCAAAAAGTAACATTATATTAATTATATTATAAAATGAATAATTATGGACATTTGCAGTTTCTTTATCAGTATCATTCTTAATAAGTTAGTAACACAGGCTTCCCAGTATTTATAACATTGTCAAGGTATAAGTAATCTTGTTAAATATAGGAGCTTTACAACATTCTCAAAGTGCCAAAAACTGATAAATATCAGTGTTTAACATTAATTAGTTTTATATGCTTCCTCACATTCAAAAATGAAATTACTAGCACTACGTGGGACATTGTATGCATTTTTAAATATAAAAAGACAAAAGAAAAGAGTGTTGTACATGACATAAACTGCTCAAGGCGTTGTACCACACAAATCTGTGTAGTGCATCAACAATATACCGGCCTAGCAGAGATTAGGGAAGGATTTTGTCTTTATTATTTATTATTTAATATTTGTAATCATTTAATGAGTGAAAATATAGTAGGCATCCATCAAACCCGTTGGGTTATGGAGTTGTGCCTGGGTGTCTGGTTGGGTGCAACGTCTGCTGTTGCTGTGAAGTCCAACCCGAGAACGTCAGTCCCGACCACAGCGAGTACAGATAAACGCCGAAAAGGTTGCGTCTGTCAGTGACTGAGACTTCCTCTGAAGTCTCTTTTCCTCAGCCTGCCTTTTCAGTTCGCCTTCGAATTGCTGGAGTCACTTAAACAATTTGCATCTGCAGAAAGATCTGTTCACAGCATATGCCTCCCAAGTATTGATGTCGATGTTCAGCTGCTTGAGGTCGCATTTGCAGGCGTCTTTGTAACGCAGCTGGGGTCTTCCGGTGGGCCTCTGAGGCCAGGTCTTCATATAAGAGGTCCTTCGGTATGCGGCCATCTTCCATGCGAATGACATGTCCCAGGCACTGCATGCGCCTCTACTTCAGGAGAGTGAACACTGAAGGGATTCCAGTTCTCTCGAGCACTGCGTTGTTGGTGACGTAGTCTCTCCACGTGATGTCAAAGATGCGTCTCAGGTTCAGCATGTGAAACATATCGAGTCGTCTCTTGGCGAGAGTGCAGGGACCAGAATTCCGAGCCGTAGCGGTGTGTTCACACAACACAAGCCATTTAGATCTGCGTCTTGTTGTGCACTGTACTTTTGGCATCTGCCCAAATGCGCTTTGTGAGCATGGCCAGTGTTATTGCGGCCTTCCCGATATGCCTATTCATCTCATTGTCCAGGGAAAGGGTGTCTGAGATTGTGGAACCCAGGAACACAAACTCGTGGACTGCCTCCAGCTGGGCAATCTGTGATGTTTATGCATGGTAACTCATTGATGTCTTGTCCAATCACCTATGCCTTCTTCAGGCTGATTGTCAGGCCGAATGTGAAGCAGGCTGCAGCAAAGAGGTTGAGTATCTGCTGCAGGGCTTCTGCTGTGTATGTGGTGATCGCTGCAGTGTCGTCGAAGAGGAAGTCCTTGAGGATTCTCATCTGTAATTTCGTCTTTGTTCGGAGTCTGGATAGATTGAAGAGCTTTCCATCAGATCTTGTACGGAGATAGATTACAAAGGCATGCATAGCGAGGGTCGCGAAGATGATGCCCAACAGCGTTGGAGCAAGGATGCATCCCTGTTTAACATCCCTATTGAAGTTGAATGGTTCATAAGCTTAGACATCGTACACGACCATACTTTTCATGTCCTTATGGAATGATTGTATCATGCTGAGTAGGATGGGTGGGTTGACAGCCAATTTTGGCCAGGATCTTGATGAGTCCGTCTTTTCTCACGAGGTCAAAGGTCTTTGTAAAGTCAATGACTGCAATGTACAGGGCTTTTCTCTGATCCCTGCACTTCTCTTGAAGATGTCTCAGGGAGAACACCACGTCAGTGGTCGATCTCTCGGCTCTAAAGTGGCACTCTGACTCTGGGTATACTCTTTCAGCAGGAATCTGGAGCCTGACCAAGACGACCCTTGCGATGAGTTTGCAAACGATGTGAGGAGGGAGTTGCCGTGATAGTTGTTGACATTGCTTCTGTCACATATATTTTTGTAGAGAGTGATATCGCATTTCACATGTCTTGTGGCACCAAGCCCTTCCTCCAGCACTGGCACAGACGTTCATGAAGCTCAGTTTTAAATGTTCCTAGAGCGCACTTGAGAACTTCAAGCAAAATGCCAGAGTCTCCAGGGGGCCTTCCCTGAGGAAAGTGAACCCAGTGCATTCTCAACTTCTTCCATAGTCGGTTCAAGGACAAGTTCTTCCATGATGGGCAGGCACTTGATTGCATCGAGGGCCTCTATGCTGACCAAGTTCTCTCTAGAGTAGAGTTCGAAGTAATGTTCCACCCAGCAATTCATCTGTTGATCACGGTCTTTAATGATCTCTCCAGTGGCTGACTTTAGAGGAGCTGTCCTGTTTTGTGTAGGACCTGTTGCATGTTTGATCCCTTCGTACATGCCTCTTATGTTGCCAACACTGACCGCAGTCTGGATGCTGGAAAAGAGTCAGAGCCAGTCGGAGTCGGAGTCGGAGCTAGCACAGCGCCTCGCAGCTTGTTGATTTCTACTGTGAGCAGTACAGAGGACTTGTAGGTTCCTTTCTGAGGGCAGGTTCTTGTAAGCTGAGAAAGCTTATCTCTTTTCCACTATAAGGGGTAACAGTTCCTCTACACTGGCCTCGAACCATTCTGCTGACTTGTTCTGTCTCTTACCAAAACTAGACGTGGCAGTGTTGTAAATGGAGTGCCTGAGATGTGACCACCTTTAACTTGTGCTATCGCAGGGTGGTCCAGGAAGGGCGTTATCCCGCGCAGCATTGAACTCCTCCAATTTGTGAAGATCCAGGTTCTTCTTTATATTAATGTGTGGTCTTCCTTCCTTCTTTGCTCTGTAGATTTTCTGGGGTTGGAACTTTACTTTCCAAATGACGAGAGAGTGGTCGGTGTCATAATCTGCGCACTGGAAGCTGCGGGTCAGTTTGATGCTTCTCAGATTGCTACGCCCCGTAAGCACCAGATCGAGTTGTGCCAATGTTTAAACCTGGGGTGTCTCCAGGAAATCCTGTGCTGGGGCTTGGTGTCAAAGAAGGAATTGGTGATGCAGAGATCATGACGATAGCAAAACTCCAGGAGGCGGTGCCCACTCTCATTCATCTTCCCAAATCCCAACTGGCCCAGGGAGGAAGACCAAGAGCTGTGATCGGAACCATCTCTTGCATTGAAGTCTCCCAGGAGGAAGACTGGCTCTTATTGAGGTATGTCTCTGAGAGTTAGGCCGAGGTCATCATGGAACTCGTCCTTCGTTTCGATAGAGGAGGTCAGTGTTGGTGTGTAAGCGTTGATGAGGCTGACCATTCCTGCTGCTGTGTGAAGCTGAAGTTTGAGGGTCCTTGCAGGCCTCTCCGTGGGCGGTACTATGGACCCTGACAACCTGTTCCTGATGGCGAAGCCAGTTCCATGCTCCCTTACCTCTTCTTGTGGTTTGCCCTGTCCAGAAAAAGGTAAAGTCCTTCTCCCATATGCTGCCGGTCGCAGGCAAACGTGTCTCCAGCAGGGCGACTACGTCCATCTGGAACCTGCGTAGTTCATTGTTGATCACAGCTGTCTTGCAGGCGTCGTTTACTTCCATTAGATATTCCGAGAGACCCAGTGTCATGGTTCTTACATTCCAAGAGCCCAGTTTGAGAGCTGGGTGGCTCTGTGTCTGTTTTCTTTTGCCTGGTGCATGGATGACGATCTGCTTGCTGGATTGCGACCTAAGCCCAAGTATCCAGTGGAGCAGGCGGACCATAGCAGGACAGCACCTTATTGGCTGAGAGCTGTCCAGCTTGAGGCGGGCGGTAGCTGTCCGATGAAATCGGATGATATATTCCACCGACGGAATCAACCCCTGGCGCCTCACTCTACGCCAATTGAATGGTAACTGTCACTTCCCGTGTTGAGCTGTCGCCAAATCGACGCTGGAGTGTCCTCTCCAGGGCACAGGCCTGGGAAGTAGTTATGGAGAACCGGCTGTTGCCCATGCAGCAAATCCTCCCTCTCCTCGCCACCGATGTGGTCCACGGGAAGGACAGGGGCACATAGGCTTGGCACCAGTGTTGTCGCAGGAGTTGCCAGAATGTGGCTGTAAACAGCTGCAGACCGCCTTAGGGTCTCCGGCTCCGGATTTTTTCTAGGGGTTGACTCCCGAAGCCTTTTCCATGAGTGGGTTTAGCCGCAAGGCAGCTGATGATTGAATTCAGAGTTTTCCTCCTCCTAGATGATCTGTCTTCCTAGGCTGTCTTTGGTGGCTTAATCATCATCATTCATCAATCAAGTGACGAGTCCCATCTGATCGACGCAACTGGTTTTAAGGAGCCATAGGAACGCCTTTACCCCATCTTCTTGTAAATAAGATAAATAATATCTTGTAAATAAGATAAAAAAATAATAAGGTAACAACAATAAAATAGTGAAATAGTTTGAAAATGTATTATTTCAGGAAAATTTGACTTGATAATCAACTCTGCATATTATTTACCTTAGTTATATAGCCATTTGCTCAGTTGTCAGTGCTGTTGACTGATGCCCGATTGGTCCAAGGTTCAAATCGTGGGCAAAGCATGATGTTTTGTCAAGTTTTCTTACAACCGATGCTTCTCTTCACCCAGCATAAAATAAATAAAAAAAATGCTAACTGTTGTGGATTGCGTCTTGTGGAAGGTTAGTGGTTTTCCCAAGGAGGCCTCTATTATATTATCAGGGTTCCTGTCCCCATCCACAGGTGAAAACATACTTCCCTATCACCCTACACACTAGTAAGAACATGAACACACCGTACCATCACCCTACACACTAGTAAGAACATAAACACACTGCCCCATCACCCTACACACTAGTAAGAACATAAACGCACTGCCCCATCACCCTACACACTAGTAAGAACATAAACACACTGCCCCATCACCCTACACACTAGTAAGAACATAAACACACTGCCCCATCACCCTACACACTAGTAAGAACATAAACACACTGCCCCATCACCCTACACACTAGTAAGAACATAAACACACTGCCCCATCACCCTACACACTAGTAAGAACATAAACACACTGCCCCATCACCCTACACACTAGTAAGAACATAAACACACTGCCCCATCACCCTACACACTAGTAAGAACATAAACACACTGCCCCATCACCCTACACACTAGTAAGAACATGAACACACCGTACCATCACCCTACGACTAGTAAGAGCATTAGCACAGTATCCCATCACCCTACATACTAGAAAAACAATTTCACACCGCACATCACCCTACACACTAGTAAGAACATAAACACAGTGCACCATCACCCTACACACTAGTAAGAACATAAACAACGATCATCACTCAAGACACTAGTATGAGCATGTACTCTGATCGTCTCCCTACACACCAATATGAACATAAACACTGATCATCACCCTACACACCAAAAAGAACACACTAGTAAAAAATACGAACACACTGCAAATCACCCTACACGCTAGAAAGAGCATAAACATACTGGACCATCACCATTCACACTAGTTAGAGCATAAACACACTGCACCATCACCCTACACACTTCTATCAGCATCTTACAGACTAGTAAAAACACAAGCACACTGCACATCACCCTACACACTAAAAAGAGCACAAACACACTGCATCATCACCCTACACACTACTATGAGCACCTTACACATTAGTAAAAACACTAGCACACTGCACATCACCCTACACATTAGGAAGGGTATAAACACACTGCCCCGTCACCCTACACACTAGTAGGAGCATAAACACACTACTCCATAAACATACACACTAGTAAGAGCATAAACACTGATCATCACCCTAAAAACTAATTAGAACATAAACACAGTGTCCCATCACCCAGTACACTTGTAAGAGCATAAATACACTGCCCCATCACTATGCTCACAAGTAAGAAGATAAACACACTGTACCCTCACCCTTCACACTATTAAAAGCTTGGACACTCTTCAGAACACCCTACAGACCAGTTAGAGTATAAACACACTGCATCATAGCCCTAAACACTAGTAAGACCATCAACACTGGCCATCACCCTACACACTAATAAGAGCATAAACACACTGAACTATCACCTTACTTACTAGTAAGGACTTACTAGTAAGAGCATAAACACACTGCCCCATAATCCTACTTCATTAGTAAGAGCATAAACAATGTTCATCACTTAACACACTAGTAAGAGCATAAACACAATGCACATCTCCCTACACACTAGTAGGTGCATAAACATACTCCATCATCACCCTACACACTAGTAAGAGCATAAACACTGATCATCACCCTACACTCTAGTAAGAGCATAAACACTGATCATCACCCTACACACTAGTAAGAGCATAAACACTGATCATCACCCTACACTAGTAAGAGCATGACTGACCATCACCCTACACTCTAGTAAGAGCATAAACACTGATCATCACCCTACACACTAGTAAGAGCATAAACACTGATCATCACCCTACACACTAGTAAGAGCATAAACACTGACCATCACCCTACACTCTAGTAAGAGCATAAACACTGACCATCACCCTACACTCTAGTAAGAGCATAAGCACACGACACATCACTCTACACATCCAGTAAGAATGGATATACTCCACCATCTCCCAAGTAAAAACATCAACATTTGATATAATCGTGAACAGGTGTAAAAACAGGTGTTTCTACAGCTGTGTTCAGCCCGGGGTCCATCAATGACTACATATACACCCGACATATCCCTGACCTTTCACAAGTGAAGGTGGCTGAAGATGGCCTCGTCTTCGGCGCCAACGTCTCCATCAGTGAGGTCATGGCCAACATGGAGACAGCAGCCTCCACATACAGCGCCGGGTACGCTTACCTGCTGCAGCTGGTGCAGATGTGGCGGTACCTCGCATCCACCTCCCTCAGAAATGTGAGTGTGAGGCATCCCTGTCAATGTCTCTTATAAACGGTAGAATTATCACATCTATTATTGTACATTTTCATTTGTAAATTTAAATACAAATTTTACTTGTTTTAACATTTTTTGTTGTCAACTAATCATGTAAATATCGTTGTTATTAATGTTCGGTGATCATTTCAATACCTAGATGAGCAGCTGGGCCGGCAACCTGTCCCTCAAGGTCGCCCACCCGGACTTCCCCTCAGATCTTTTTGTTGGACTTCTGGGTGCCGGAGCCACCATCACCACAGGTAGGTCAGACAAGTTCACCACATGCCAGGCTAGGTCATATATGATCCGGCCAGGGCATGCTTGGCAACGTCTGATATAAGCTCTTTAAAATTCACCAATTTTATGGTCACCACTTTAAAGTTCATCACATTAAAGTTAGGGTATAGCAGATTTTGCTTAGGCTTACATCACGTAAAACTACGTCATACTAGACTCTAAAGGTGCCTAGTTCCCAAATTCAAACGCCAGAAGAAACAGTTCACCAATCTGTTACGACAAACTAGATAATAAAGCCAAACGAAGAAATATTTTATATATCTTAGTGATATATTTTTTAATATTAATTTTACCTGAATATTATTAATGTTTTGTTATCTTAACTGGTGAGATTTACTCGATCTTCTTCATTTGACTTCTCCCCTCACAGCCGGTACAGATGGGGTTACGGCTACACACACAGTCGAGGAACTGCTCCAGATTGACCTGAAGGGCGAGCGCCGAGTCATCCTTGAGATGAGTCTTCCTCCTATGGCTGAGGACGAAGTGTTTAGGGTGTTTAAGGTAGGGATGGTGTGTGCGTCCAGGAGCCATCATAAATACATTGACCAGCACAAATTTAACCAGTCATAACGAGTCAATTTCCTGGGTATTTACCTTCCATGTGATAGCTCCGGGGATTAATGTCTCCGTGGCCCAGTCTCTGACCAAGCCTCTTGGTTGGTGGTCTAGTCAACTAGGTTATTTGACGGCGCTGCTGGCTGTCTGACATATGAATCACAGCCTAGTTGATCAGGTATACTTTGGAGGTGTTTATCAGGTTTCCTCTTGAATGCTGCGAGAGGTTGGCTAGTTATGCTTTTCATGTTCACGCCCGAGCCATATAAATTGTTAACCACAATACTGAGGATAAAAACATTCCATGCAGTCGATAGAGCGCTCGTCTCCCATGCTGGATCTTGTGTGTTCGAGGCTCCTATATAATATATATATATGTATATATTTCAAATGATAAACCTGAATAGCACACAAGCCTCACCTTAAATACTTGAACGTTCCAAATGCCCTTGATAGGACTAGAACTTGCCACCACGTGATGCAAAGCCGCAGGTGGAGGCCCTGAATTTATTAGTGGTTGTGAAAAATATTTTTGATAAATGATCGCTAAGTGCGATCATCCTTGCCAAAGGCTTTTCCCTATCTGCATCGAAATATCATCTTATATGAACTTCAATATGACAAACATATACGGCGTATATCAGCATTCACATAAATAGGATAAATTTTGCAATGAGGTGTTTAATGTTGCAAGGAAGGGTGTGCTTAAGGCATCTGTAATCGTTACATGCACCTCCTCAAATTATGTGTGTTTGCGTATGATACATAAACAACCGTATATACTTGTGTGCGTTGATGAACTTCAAGAAACTACATACTTGATCTTTAATTCCCTTCCTCCTGCTCGGCCTCACCCAGGTGACTCCGCGTGTGACCAACAGCGTGGCATATGTCAACGCCGCCTTCAGGCTGCGGGTGGACCAGGCCAACGCCCACACAGTCCTCGACACACCTGTCATCGTCTACGGCGGCATCAGTCCCAACTTCGTAAGTCCAGGCGGGTTTAGGCTACTCAGTATTGATCTTTAAAAATTATTTAAAGCGCGCCAGAATATAATAAATAACATTATAATATATACTGACTGCCATAAGGCAAGAATTGTGCAATACCTCAGTAATTTTGTTGCGAGAGAACCTTATTTTGTGATTTGTATGGAAATACATGTTTCCGTATTCGATAAATATGATATTGCTGGAATTCCAGAGAATTATGTGCGTGCATCCATGAGTCTGTTCGTCTATTATTGCTCAAGCGCCTGAACGGTTCTGCAGATTTTCATACAAAAATTAACTATTGGTTGGCACTAGCATTTGTTGGAAATGCATAAATTTTGCCATAAGGCTTAGAGTGGGGAGAAAGGTGGAGAGGGGGAGAAGATTGGGGAGAGGTGAGAGAAGGGGAAAATTGGGAGAAAAGATGGAGAAAAGATGGAGAAGGGAGGATGTTGTGGAGAGGAGGACTGAAAGGTGGGAGAAAGGGGAAATTGGGAGCGAGGAAAGGGAGGGGAGGAAGAAAAGTGAAGATGGGGGGATGAGGAAGAGAGATAAAAACAAGGGTAGATTCGAACAGAGTGGGGAGAGGGGAAGAAAAAATAGAGGAGATAGCAGAGAGACCAGGGTGCAGCCGGAACCCCCATCTAGTAGACACAATAAAACAAAATTACAGACAATTTTATACGATAGCAACAACAATTTAGAAAAATATATATTGGTTTCGTTAGAAAGCTACACTCTTCCTACAATTAGAAAGTGATGTGGTGGAGGCTGAATCCATACACGGTTTCAAATGTTGAAATGATAGAGCTCAATAAGCTCAGGCACCTGTACACCAGTTGATTGATAGTTGAGAGGCGGGACCAAAGAGCCGAAGCTCAACTCCTGCAAGCACAATTAGGTGAGTACACACATATTGGGTCTCGTGGCTGAGTGGACTGCGCTCTAGGGTCATAATTCCTAAGGGGCCGTGGTTCGATTCTCGGACGAGGCAGAAACAAGTGGGCAGCTTATTTCACTATGATGCACCTGTTCATCTAATAATCAATAGGTTCTTACGAGTTAGACCGCTGCTTCGAGCGGCTTCCTCGGAGTGAGTGTGTGTGTGTGCGTGTGTCAGAGAGAAATATATGAAGAAGATATAAAGGAGGAAAAATAAATTTGTTAAAAAGGCAGAGTTCATGAGCTAGTAGCTCGATTCTGCAGGCACTAAATAAAAAATACACTGGACCCATACACACACAAATACGGGAGCTGAACCTCATGTCGCTGGAAAAAAGAAGAGTTAGGGAGAGACATGATCACTACATACAAAATTATCAAACGAATTGATATTGTAGATCAACACAGTTTATTTAACACACGTGGTACCACACAAGGGAACACATGTGGAAACTGAATACTCAAATGAGCCAATAAAAGGAACTTTTTCAGTGCCAGAGTAGTTAAGAAATGAGATGCATTAGACAGGACAACCCGCTCTCGCACAAGACAGCACATATATGACTTATTGCATATAGTTACTATTTCACATATAAATAAGTATATATGTGAAATATTCCAAGAACCATTTTTTCCAAGGCACTAACTTTTCCTCTCAGTTTTATTAAACAGTAGAGATTTTATACATAATTTGGCAATATCCTGAGTTACTTTACAATTTATTTACATATTTTAGTTTTGTTTTATTATTTTCATAAAACTGTAAAATCAATATTGGTATAGGTTCAGTACTAATTGTAATATATTAACATGCTAAGAAGGTTAGGTCAGGTTGTGGTTTTCTATTCAGCATTTCAAGGTAAACTCAAATATTCACAATAAATTAGTATGTCACATATGCACTTATTCATAAGCAATATATTGACTATAAGCAATTGCGAGAACGGGTTGGACAGGAATGTGGTAGAAGCAGACTCCATGCACATTTTAAAATCTAGATATGTTAGAGCACAATAGATTTAAGAATCTGTTCACCAGTTGATTGACGGTTGAGAGGCGTAAGACCCACATTTTCATAAACACAATTACGTTTACATACTAATATAATCTTGCACAAACTTTCAAAAGCACTCATACCCATTTCAAATCCACACTCACAACAAAATCATTTGAACACTAACATGTATACAAAATCCCACACGCAATGCACACACAACCAACGGAATTATCCTAACTTGCCTATGTTAATTCATTCTAACATAACTAAAAACTATATTTTACTAAGGTTATCAAAATTTAACCTAAATTTAACCTGATTTATGATCTCCAACATCAAATCCACACACCACACACACACACACACACAGCCTTTCCCTTTCTTAAAAACATTTCACTCTGTCAGAGTGGCATCCGTCTAGTTATTTTCAGCATACAATCCACACATTACCTACCCCCATTTTAATCCAAATTCCCTGTATTAATGCTTCTTCTGGTCTCTAATACAATATATTCTTATGAAAAGTGTCTATTTGGACATTTTCCCATCCTGGAACACTGGCAGGACATCCCATTCTGCCTTAACTTAAGCTCTCATACTCTTCTAGGAATAGTAGAGTTATTAGGCATTTTCGTACATCAGTTAAATCCAAATAGCTTTAACCTAACCTAGAGCTGGGTTTGCTATTACGCAATATTCTTTGAAAAAATAATAATTGCTATGTTCATGCCTTCAAATATCATATCCTCCAATAGATTGCATCTTCGACACCTGTCAATGCGTCATGTTTTTGCTATTCCTTATAGAACATCCTTCACCTAACATTTATTCCACATATTTTCATTGTAAATTATAGGAAAAGGAAAACTTTTGTTATTGTGTACATTATCTATCCGGCATCTTATCTCCACAGTCATCCCAAAACACTCTCACCCAACCTTGTACTTTACTTGATCCCAATACTATACACCTTTAGCACTGTTACACTGGATGTTCCGCTCTCACTTTATAGAAAAAGCTTTGTCTCACTGTTTACAAATTCTAGTAAATAGTAAATACATAACACAGATAATCTTATTACCTTATAACTTTATGTATTTTAGGCTATTTTTTCCCATTTATCACCGTATATCACTGACATCTAGAAGCGAGTCCAAGAACTAACGTACAACACTAGATGCATGATATGTCCCTAATTAATATATTACCCCATGACGGACTCATATAAGCCTAAATTTCACAATATATTATGTGGGTTAAAATCTGAAATACAGCCAAAATAAAAATGTTTCAGTTGTGGAGCCATTCCTCATTTGGAGCATTTGTGGAGCATTTTCACCCTTGTAAAATTAGTTTGGAGGATTTGCGGAACATTCTCACCCCTTGTCAGGTTAATCTGGAGCATTCTCACCCTGTTAGGTATGTCTGGAGCATGAGTGAAACATTCTCAACCATGTTAATCCTGTTTGCAGCATTAGTCTGATTTTATTCACCTTCAATAAGCGTAAATTTGAGAAGCAGCGTATGGGTATTGAGTTTCGTTTAGTGTTTTACTTCCATTTACAAGTGTAATTCAGAATTTGTCGAAAGATCAGCTATATATGTGTTTTGGATCTTGATACAATCGTTGAGATGCACATCGAAAGGCAAGCGATTGCATGCACTTGATATATTTTCAAACTAAACCCTGTAGTGTGGAATACAACTGTTAGGTAGCACTATATGACTTGTTGCTTGCAGGTGCGCGCTACAGCAACGGAGGCAGCGCTGGCAGGCCAGAGCTTGGAGGACGAAGCAACACTACAGTCCGCGTTTACTGCTCTGGCCTCCGAGGTGGTTCCTCTCGATGATCCTGCAGCCTCTTCCCCAGAGTACAGGCTGGCCCTCACCCAGAACCTTCTTTACAAGGTACTTACCTAGTTGGGCTTGCGGGAGTTGAGCTTTGGTCCCGCCTCTCAAATGTCAATCAACTGGTGTACAGATTGCTTTAAACAATCACTTTAAAGGTTTAGAATATTTTTATGGTTAGTGATAACCAAATGTAGGATGTTTATCATCCAGAATCTGCTCGTACTGAAGGTCATTATAACAACGTAAAATGTTTCAATTATAGCAATGAGTTCTTTCAACTCGACACATCCATTGGATTCAGAGGATCTTTATGGCTATATTTAGTCAAGCGCCATGGTGAGCCGGTCGGCCGAGCGGACAGCACGCTGGACTTGTGATCCTGTGGTCCTGGGTTCGATCCCAGGCGCCGGCGAGAAACAATGGGCAGAGCTTCTTTCACCCTATGCCCCTGTTACCTAGCAGTAAAATAGATCCCTGGGTGTTAGTCAGCTGTTACGAGCTGCTTCCTGGGGGTGGAGGCCTGGTCGAGGACCGGGCCGCGGGGACACTAAAAAAGCTCCGAAATCATCTCAAGATGGTTAACCAGAAATTTTTTTGCTGCTGACCAGTACATATCATTGTGACTGGGAAGTCGGCCCAGGTTACTGCAGCCTACCTTTCTCTAAAAGAGGTCCTTTCCATTTGACAATTTTCATCCTGGAATAAGGTCCTCTGCTTTGGTTGGGCTTTATTATCACTGGAATAATTTGTATGTTTTTTTTCTCCAATTCCACATTCCATAATATGCCATTTATTCACATTGAATTCCATTTGCAACTTGATACTCCAAGCACTTATTTTATCTAGATCAATTTGAAGGGTATTACAATCGTCTAAGTCTCTTATCTTCCTCATTATCTTAGCATCATCAACAAACGCATTCATATAATTCAGTATTCCTTCTGGTAGATCGCTTATGTAGATGATAAACATTACTGGTACAAGAACCGAACCCTGTGGTACTCCGCTAGTAACACTCCTCCAGTCAGATACATTGCCTCTGATTACTGCCCTCATCTGTCTGTTAGAACATTTGTCATCCATGTCAGAACACTCTACAAACAGGCTTTTTTAGGTCCAGAGAGGCACAGTCAACCCAACTATCTCTTTCCTATAGTATCTATGTGGCTCTGTTCAGTGGGCCAGCCAGAGACTTAGGGCCCACGCAGGAATTTCCCTGCAAAAAAATCTCTACTGCTGCTCTTTCCACCCTAGATGATAATTTTCTTTTTTAAACACCTGAAAATTATTATGGACTTAATTCTATCTGCAATGTTTTTTACTAATTTACTGTTGTAAGCAGTTTTCCTTAATTTCTTGTTTAATTTCTGCTTCTTGTTAGTCACACATTTCCTTGATCGTCTCATTCTCTTTTACCACTTGCGCGCGTGTGAGTGTGGGTGTGGGTGTGTGTACTTACCTAATTGTGCTTGCGGGGGTTGAGCTCTGGCTCTTTGGTTCCCCGCCTCTCAAGCGTCAATCAACAGGTGTGTGTGTGTGTTCTCGCCTATTTGAGCCTGCAGGATCGAGCATTGGCTCTTGGATCCTGCCTTGCTAGCTGCCAGTTGTTTAAAGCAATGACTCTGCGAACATTTCTTCTAATTTCACTCTGTCAATCCACTCTAAGTATTTTATATTTTGTTATAATGTCTCCCCACTTTTTTCTAGCTTGGTCAGGGTCAGATCCTTCCGTCGCTTTTCATATCCCACCCCTCTCAAGTCTGGGACGAGCCTCGTCGCAAATTTCTGAAACTTTTCCAGTTTTCTAATGTGTTTCTTCAGGAGGAGGCTCAATGATTGGGCTACATACTCTAAGACTGGTCTTATTTAGGCAGTGTAAAGCACTCTAGCTCTAAATGCCTCCTTACTTAGGTTTCTGAATGACGTTTTAAATTTTGCTAAAGTAGAGTACGCTGCTGTCTTTACTCGATTTATATGTGTCTCAAAAGTTAGATTTGGTGCTACGTCCACTCTCAGGTCCCTTTCTCAAATCGTCGTCACAGGTAGGTAGTTTTCCCTTCATTGTGTCCTGACCTTTAGATCTCTTGTCACGTAGTCCCATTTCCATAACTTTACTCTTGCTCGTATTGTGCTCCAGTAGCCATTTCTCTGACCATCTCTGCAGCTTTTTCAAGTCCTCTTGGTGGATCCAACAATTCGTATTTGTCACAACTCTACTCATTAATTCCGCGTCATCCACGAACATCGACAGATAGGACTCGACTCCTGTAGACATGTCGTTCTCATATATTAGAAACAGAACTGGTCCCAGCACCAATCTTTGATGTACTTCACGCGTTACGGTTCGCCAATCCAGACTTCTGCCTATTAAGTAATTCTTAACCAGAGATAAATTGTTTTTTGCTTACTCTTGCAAACCTTTCAAGTTTGAATAGCAGTCTCCTGTGCGGTACTGTATCAAAGGTTTTTTGCCAGTCCAGAGATATGCAATCTGCCTTTCCTTCTCCTGACTTGCCATATTCTTGTTACTTTATCATAAAATTTCAGAAGGTTTGTTAGGCATAATTTCCCTTCTCTGAACCGATGTTGGTTTCTGCTTACATACCAATTTTTCTCTAAGTGTTAACTTAATCCTAACCTGATTATTCTTTCAAGCACTTTTCAAGGGATTCTTGTCAGTGATACTGGTCTCTAGTTAAGTATCTCTTCCCTATCTTCTTTCTTGAAAAATGTTAGCACATTTGCCTTCTTCCAGCATCTGGGCCAATCTCCCTTTGTAAGTGAATCATTGTAGATCCTTCCTAGAGGCATGCTGAGGGCCTACACTGCCTCCTTTAGTATCCACAGGGATACATTGTGGTCCAACTGCTTTAGTTTCACCAGTGCGGTTAGTTGTATCATTACCTCCTCTACTGTCTACTCTATATCTGTTAGCCTCTCATCTAGGGGCCATATTCTCTTCAAACAGTGCGAGCTGCTCGCTCTCATTTGTGAACACTCCATGGAAACTGGCATTCAATACTTCGCAGATTTTCTTGTCGCTTTCGGGATATAATTTTGTTTTCCATAATCTTGTCACTTGGTCGTTCATTGACATTTTCCTTCTTGTATGACTATGTAGTAATTTATGTTGCTTTTTCGCTTTGATCACAATGTCGTTCTCATTCTTTCTTTCTTTCCGATACTCTCCTTATATTAATGTATTCGTTCCTAGCTTTGCTGCATCTAATCCTATTGTTCCCTGTCCATAGTGTGTACTAACCAAGTTGTACTTGCGGGGGTTGAGCTCTGGCTCTTTGGTCCTGCCTCTCAACTGTCAATAAACTATTGTACCGATGCCAGAGCCTACTGGGCTCTATCATATCTATATTTGAAACTGTATGGAGTTTGCCTCCACCACATCACTGCCTAATGCATTCCATCTGTTAACTACTCTGATACTGGACAAGTTCTTTCTAACGTCCCTGTGGCTCATTTGGGTACTCAGTTTCCACCTGTGTCCCTTTGTTTGCGTAACCCAGTCGTAACAGTAACTGCGTAACCCAGTTAAGCAGTCTCCGTGGTGTAGTGGTAAGACACTCGCCTGGCGTTCCGCGAGCGCTATGTCATGGGTTCGTATCCTGGCCGGGGAGGATTTACTGGGCACAATTCCTTAACTGTAGCCTCTGTTTAACGCAACAGTAAAATGTGTACTTGGATGAAAAAACGATTCTTCGCGGCAGGGGATCGTATTCCAGGGACCATAGGATTAAGGACTTGCCCGAAACGCTACGCGTACTAGTGGCTGTACAAGAATGTAACAACTCTTGTATATATCTCAAAAAAAAAAAAAAAAAACCTCCCCCCCCACCTCCCGTGTTAAATAATTTATCTCTGTCGATTCCTCTTAGAATTTTGAAAGTGGTGATCATATCTCCCCGAGCTCTCCCAGCTATCAGCGACGTTAGGTGCATTTCAAACAGCCTTTCTTCGTAACTCATGCCTTTTAGTTCTGGGAATAACCTAGTGGCATACCTCTGAACTTTTTCCAGCTTAGTCCTGTGCTTGACAGGGTACGGGCTCCATGCTGGGGCCGCATACGCCAAGATTGGTCTTACAAATGTGGCATACAAGGTTCTGAAGACTTCCTTGCACAGGTTTCTGAAGGTAGTTCTAATTTTAGCAAGCCTCGCATACGCCGCCGGTGTTATTCTTTTTATGTTGGCTTCAGGAGACAGGTTTTGCGTCATATCAACTCCTAGATCTTTCTCTCTGTCAGTTTCAAAAAGGATCTCATCTCCCATTCGGTATCCTGTTTCTGCCCTCTTGTTTCCACTCCCTAGTTTCATTACCTTACATTTACTCGGGTTAAACTGTAGTAGCCATTTGTTGGACCATTCATTCAGTGTATCTAGGTCATCTTGTATTCTCATACTATCTTCTTCTGTCTTAATCCTCCTCATAATTTTTGCATCATCAGCAAACATTGAGAGGAACGAGTCTATTCCCTCTGGGAGATCATTTACATATATCGGAAACAGTATAGGTCCAAGGACTGAACCCTGCGGGACTCCACTTGTAACGTCTCGCCAATCTGAGACCTCACCCCTCACAGTGACTCACTGTCTTCTGTTACTTAGGTACTCCCTTATCCAATGGAGTACCTTCCCTTTCACTCCTGCCTGCATATCGAGCTTTCGCACTAGTCTCTTGTGTAGTACTGTGTCAAAGGCTTTCTGGCAATCCAAAAATATGCAATCTGCCCACCCCTCTCTTTTTTGGCTGATTTTTGTTGCCTGATCGTAGAATTCCATAAATCCTCTGAGGCATGACTTGCCATCCCTGAACCCATGCTGATATTGTGTTACAAAGTTATTTTGCTCCAGATGTTCCACTAGTATTTTTTGCATAATCTTCTCCATCAACGTGCATGGTATGCAAGTTAGGGACACTGGCCTGTAGTGTACTTCCTCTTGCCTATCCCCCTTTTGTATATTGGAACTACATTAGCAGTGTTCCCAATTTTTTGCAGTTCCCCCTGTTACCAGTGATTTGTTAAGCACCATGGGAAGTGTCAGGCACAGTGCTTCTGCTTCTTCCTTTAGTATCCATGGTGAGATTCACTCCGGACCTATAGCCTTTGTCACATCTAACTCTAGTAAAAGCTTCCTCACCTCCCCACTGGTAATCCCAAAGTCTTCTAGCGGTGCCTGGTCATCTATTCCCTGACTTATCTCTTGAACGTCTCCTTGCTCTAATGTGAAGACCTCCTGGAATTTCTTATTGAGTTCCTCACACACTTTCTTGTCGTTTGTAGTGAATTTGTCTGCCCCTATCCTCAGTTTCATTACCTGTTCCTTCTCTGTTGTTTTTCTCCCGATGTGGCTGTGCAGCAATTTAGATTGAGTCTTTGCCTTGCTTGTTATGTCATTTTCATATGGCCCTTCTGCCTCTCTTCTCGACCTGACGTATATATTCCTGGCACTCTGGTATCTTTCTCTGCTCTCTAGTGTCCTATTACTTCTATAGTTTCTCCACGCCCTTGTTCTTAGTTGCTTTGCTACCTTACATCTCTGATTAAACCATGAGTTTCTCGTCTGCATTTCATTTTTTTCCTTTCCCACGTGTGTGTGTGTGTGTGTGTGTGTGTGTGTGTGTGTGTGTGTGTGTGTGTGTGTGTGTGTGTGTGTGTACTCACCTATTTGTACTCACCTATTTGTACTCACCTATTTGTGCGTACGGGGGTTCAGCTCTGGCTCTTTGGTCCCGCCTCTCAACTGTCAATCAACTAGAGATTAATGTGTGTGTGTGCGTGCATTCTCCAAGTGTACCACACATGGAGAATGTGCGGTCCAGGCAGGTATCTTGATAACTGAGAGTGACATACGGGAATATACAGATATCTTTAGACTTGTAGGTTTGACATTTTCGGTGAAAGAAATTTTGTTTCGTTTAAGAAAACTATTATTCTTCTGATATAGCTTCTATAAATTTGATATACTCAAAACAAAATTTCATCATTTCCAGCATTTATGATATGTTTCAGTATCAATTAGTTTCCTTAGACTTTTTATTATACTACAAAATATCGGTACTGTTTTAGAGTGTAATTTTACTGTATCCATACGGCGCTTATGACCTCGTTATAGCGGCTCCTGAGGTTCTAGGTTTTAATATTATAAATGAAGATTCCCTCCCTCATATCTCCTGACCCTCCCTCATACCTCCTGACCCTCCCTCATGCCTCCCGACCCTCCTTCATTCCTCACGACCCTCCTTTATACCTCTTGGCTCACCCTCATACCTATTGACCATCCCTCATACCTCCTGACCATATCCCATACCACCTGATTGTATGGCCTTCCCTCATACCTCGCGACCCTCCCGCATACCTCTCGATATTTCTTCATATCTCCTGATACTCCTTCATACCTCGTTACCTTCCCTCATATCACCTGACCATCTCTCATATCTCTTGACCCTTTCTAATACCTTCAAACCCTTTCTCATATCTCCTGACCTTCGCTCATATCTCTTGACCCGCCCTCATACCTCCCGACTGTTCATCATACCATCCGACCCTCCCTCATACCTCCCTACGCTCCCTCATACCTCCTGACCCTCGTTCAAACCTCCCGAGTCTCACTCTTAACTCTTGACCCTCCCTCATACCTCCTGATCCTCCCTCATTCCTCCTGACACTCCCTCATACCTCCCGATCTTTCCTCATAGCTCCCGATCTTTCTTCGTTCCTACCGATCTTCACTCATATCTCTTGACCCTCCCTCATACCTCCCGACCCTGTCTCATAACTCCCGATCCCTCCCTCATACCTCACGACTCTACCTCATACCTCCTGACCCTCCCTCATACCTCCTGACCCTCCCTCATACCTCCTGACCCTCCCGCATACCTCCTAACCCTCCCTCATACCTCCTGCCCCTCCCTCATACCGCCTGACCTTCCCTCATACCTCCTAACCCTCCCTCATACCGCCTGACCTTCCCTCAAACCGCCTGACCTTCCCTCATACTTTCTAACCCTCCCTCATACCGCCTGACCTTCCCTCATACCTCCTGACCCTCCCTCATACCGCCTGACCTTCCCTCATACCGCCTGACCTTCCCTCATACCTTCTAACCCTCCCTCATACCGCCTGACCTTCCCTCATACCGCCTGACCTTCCCTCATACCTCCTGACCCTCCCTCATACCTCCTAACCCTCCCTCATATCTCCCGACCCTCCCTCATACCTGGTGACTCTCCCAACAGACTGTGCTGGGAATAATTGGAGCAGCAGCAGGAGCGAGTGTGGCCAGCGGCGCCACCGTCCTCCAGCGACCGCTCTCCAGCGGACAACAAATCTTTGACCCGAACTCTGACGTCTGGCCCCTGGCCGAGGCCGTCCCTAAGCTCGAGGCCAAGATCCAGTGTAGTGGTGAGTGTGGAGGGTGGCGGGGGGCTGGAGGTTAACATACAGTGTAGTGGTGAGTGTGGAGGGTGGCGGGGGGCTGGAGGTTAACATACAGTGTAGTGGTGAGTGTGGAGGGTGGCGGGGGGCTGGAGGTTAACATACAGTGTAGTGGTGAGTGTGGAGGGTCTCATATACGGAAAGCAGAATAACTCTCACAGGAGTAGACTCGTACCACCTGTTACGGCCCTCTCGGGACGCAACGGGGTTCTTACTCTGATGTTAGAGGAAGTTATATCCGACCCCAAGCCAGTAGTGGCTTTCAAGGGATGTGATCCGTGACGCAAGTAACTTAAAGGGGGAAGGGAAAGAAAGTTAAGAACTTAAGATTATAATTACCATCACCTATAAATATTATATAAAAAGAGTGCACAGGGGGAGGGGTATTAACACTGTACAGGGGAAATACACAATTGTCTTCTGTTGAAGACTCTTGACACAGGCTCTCGGTGCTAAATCCTCGGTGCTTCTTCGTGGCCTCACAACGAATCCTCTGGGAAGCTGAGCCTACCCTGGCCACAGGTCAGCCAAAACACAGGTCCACTGGGGGCACCGCCGTGGAGGCCGTCAACCACACGTCCAGCAGGTCTGCTGGCAGGTTCCGGATCAGCAAGGCTGGTCAGGCCACTCCACGGGCGATATTAGGGTAACGCCCTAGACAGGAGTCTCGTGTGATATCACAAATCACTCTCCTGTCCTCAATACCCCAGTGGATAAACGTCTCCAGCAGTCAGTCCCGAGTAATCCTTCTACTGCCACTCCACTGGCAGGGTAACACCACAGTGTTCTTCCGGGGGACGACTTCACAGCTGCTGCAGCAAAGCACAAGATATGGAGACGGCTTCCTTGGGTAGACTGACTCAACTTCCATCACAGCAGTCCCAGGTCGACTCTGTAAGCAGACACGTCATCAATAACTGGGACACACTAAGGCACCTCACTTACAGGCTCAGACACAAACGCCCACCTATCCACTCCATAGATGGCGCTGGTGTCTGAGCACCACCTCACCAGAGGTCAGCAGCGGCGGTGTTGTGAGCTGCACAGGACTGGAAACTGGCCCTTGTGGCCAGTATTCACCGTCCTCACCAGGTGTCGTCGTCCGTTTGGCGGGGGTTTCGGGAGCTGGCCCACAGATGGCGCGGTCGTCACTGCTCCGTGCTCGGACGTCGGATCCGGGTTCGTAACACCACCCAGGCTACATGGGGTCATAACAGACTCTAAAGTGAGTGGTGAGAGACTCCATTGTGAGTGGGGAGGGACCCCTTGGTGAGTGGGGAGGGACTCCATAGTGAGTGGGGAGGGACTCCATAGTGAGTGGGGAGGGACCCATAGTGAGTGGGGAGGGACCCATAGTGAGTGGGGAGGGACTCCATAGTGAGTGGGGAGGGACTCCATAGTGAGTGGGGAGGGACTCCATAGTGAGTGGGGAGGGACTCCATAGTGAGTGGGGAGGGACTCCATAGTGAGTGGGGAGGGACCCATAGTGAGTGGGGAGGGACTCCATAGTGAGTGGGGAGGGACTCCATAGTGAGTGGGGAGGGACTCCATAGTGAGTGGGGAGGGACTCCATAGTGAGTGGGGAGGGACTCCATAGTGAGTGGGGAGGGACTCCATAGTGAGTGGGGAGGGACTCCATAGTGAGTGGGGAGGGACTCCATAGTGAGTGGGGAGGGACTCCATAGTGAGTGGGGAGGGACTCCATAGTGAGTGGGGAGGGACTCCATAGTGAGTGGGGAGGGACTCCATAGTGAGTTGGGAGAGACTCCATAGTGAGTGGGGAGGGACTCCATAGTGAGTGGGGAGGGACTCCATAGTGAGTGGGGAGGGACTCCATAGTAAGTGGGGAGGGACTCCATAGTGAGTGGGGAGGGACTCCATAGTGAGTGGGGAGGGACTCCATAGTGAGTGGGGAGGGACTCCATAGTGAGTGGGGAGGGACTCCATAGTGAGTGGGGAGGGACTCCATAGTGAGTGGGGAGGGACTCCATAGTGAGTGGGGAGGGACTCCATAGTGAGTGGGGAGGGACTCCATGGTGAGTGGGGAGGGACTCCATGGTGAGTGGGGAGGGACTCCATAGTGAGTGGGGAGGGACTCCATAGTGAGTGGGGAGGGACTCCATAGTGAGTGGGGAGGGACTCCATAGTGAGTGGGGAGGGACTCCATAGTGAGTGGGGAGGGACTCCATAGTGAGTGGGGAGGGACTCCATAGTGAGTTGGGAGAGACTCCATAGTGAGTGGGGAGGGACTCCATAGTGAGTTGGGAGAGACTCCATAGTGAGTGGGGAGGGACTCCATAGTGAGTTGGGAGAGACTCCATAGTGAGTGGGGAGGGACTCCATAGTGAGTTGGGAGAGACTCCATAGTGAGTGGGGAGGGACTCCATAGTCAGTTGGGAGGGATCCAGTGGTGATCTCTACTTTTTAGAGTCGTCAAGTCGTCGTTCCTTTCCCGAATCGTTACAGGAAGGTAGTTTCCCTTCACTGTGTACTGATACTCAGGTCTCCTGTCACCTGGTCCTATATCCATAACTTTAAACTTGCTCGTGTTGAACTCCAGTAGCCCTTTCTCTGACCATCTCTGCAAATTGTTCAATTCCTCTTGGAGTATCCTAGAATCCTCATCTGTCGCAACTCGTCTCAATAATTTCGCGGCATCCGCGAACATCGACTTATAGGACTCGATTCCTGTAGACATGTCATTCACGTGTATTAGAAATAGAACTGGACCCAGCACCGATCCTTTAGGTACTCCACTCGTTACGGTTCGCCAGTCTGATTTCTCCCCCCCTGACTGTTACTCTCTGGTTCCTGCCTGTTAAATAATACTTTACACAAGCTAGAGCTTTCCCGCTTACTCCCGCCTGCCTCTCAGGTTTAAATAGCAGTCTCCTGTGCTGTACTGAGTCCCTGAAATCCCTAAAACTCATGCTGATGATGTCACAAAATTCTTTCGCGCCACATCTTCTATTAGTTTTTTGGCAAAAAATCTTCTCCATCACTTTGCAAGGTGTGCAAGTTAGGGACACTGGCCTGTAGTTCAGTGACTTCTATCTGGCACCCTTCTTGTGTATCAGGACTGCATTAACCGTCTTTTAAATTGTTGGCAGTTCACCTGGTACCAGTGACTTGTTATACACCACCGACAGCAGCAGGCACAATACTTCTGCGATTTCTTTTAGTATCCATGGTGAGATTCCTTCTGGGCCTATAGCCTTTGCCACATCCAACTGAAGCAAATGCTTCCTTACCTCCACACTGCTAATCATAAACTCCTTCTGTGGTGTCTGGTTAGATATTCCCTCTCTTATCTCAGGGACATCTTCCTGCTCTAATGGGACGGCGTCCTGGAATTTCATATTGATTTCCTCGCATGCTTCCTTTTCATTTGCAGTGAACCTGTCTGACCCTATCCTCAATTTCATTACTGGTTCCTTCTGTTGTTTTCCTTCTGATGTGGCTGTGCAACAATTTAGGCTGAGTCTTTGACTTACTTGCGGTCATTTTCCTACTGTCTTTCTGCCTCTCTTCTCACCCTGAGGTACTTATTCCTGGCATTCAGGTTCTTTGCTCTCGTGTCCTGTTATTTTTAAAGTTTCTTCTTCTTGTCCATGTACTTAGTGGCAGTGACAGGTTATATTCTTGATTAGACCATGGATTCCTCATTTGCATTGCGTTATTTCATGTAATAATTTCCCTTTCGGAATGCCAGCTTTTTGTTGTCTGAGCCCCCTTCCATGAGTACGTTAACCCTACTTCTACTAGGCACATAAACATCAGTACAATGTGATCGATCATTCCCACGGGGGCTTCGAATTCCCTTATGTCAGAGTCATTCACGGTGTCGAGTTTAGCGGGGTCGTCGTTGCCTTTCACTCTTGTGGGTCCACTGTGGGAAAAGTCTAACTCTCAATATTAATTATAATCATATAAATTAAATGCAAACGACAGCTTCGAAGGACCACCTCCTTTTATATAAAAAGAAGGAAAAATAAATTATTATGAAATGATCCAAAGAACCAGTGTCCTATGGACCTTAATTAAATCAGTAGAATATTAATTTAAGAGCATTATATGAACTGTAGTTACAAGTAATTAAAGAGTAGACTTAACACATAAATCTGGAGTATTACATATTAAAAGATAAATATATCCCTAGTATTATTTCAGCGCTGGTTCTACGCTGAAGTAAATAGTTAGAAAATGAATGAATGTAAATTTGTCTAACTACACATTGAAATATTATATACATGCATAAGAAATGAATAGCACATGTATAAGTAATATATCACGGAAATAAATAAATAAAGAATGTGACTAAAGTATCTACGAAAAATTAGTATGAGGGCTTAGCTGTAAAGAAGACTTCACAACGTTCATTTCACAGCTCAAATACTCGAAGACGTAATCTCGTTGCCAATGTTATTGTTGAGAACACAGGACAATGGAAACCACATGGAGGGGAAGGGGGAAGGGAATTAGCAGGGGAAATCGCCAAGCTATTACGATTATATAGCACTGGGGATGGGATCAGGATAAGGATTTGGGGTAGGACGGCGGGGAAGGAATGGTGCCAACCACTTGGACGGTCGGGGATTGAACGCCGACCTGCATGAAGCGAGACCGTCGCTCTCCCGTCCAGCCCAATTGGTTGTGTAATGGCAAGGAGGGGAAGATTGTCTCGGCTTGTCCTCACAATTCACGCTGGAATCACAATAAAATTGTAGAAAATGCCTAGGCTAATAAATTATTCCACTATTCATTAGAAAAAGCGGGAATAAATAAATACGAGATAAAACTAACGTAGTTTTTGTGGTCTTCCTGCTATATGACGACGAACAACCTACACGTTAATTTATGTGTATACACTAAAAAAACTAACGTAGGAACTGATATACTTATTACGGTCGCCGATATCGTGTCTGCTTATTGTAGGAGTAGTTGATGGTCCCTGACGTTCACTGATGCAGTAGGTCGGATTACGGGATAAATATAAACTAGACACGAGAATTAAAAGCATTTTAGTATTGCCTGCTTGACCACGTTGTTCTCTCTGTAATGGCGTCCACGGTGCAAGCCTGTGAGTGCGCATGGCAGAGTGACGCCCTCCTCCTTTCCCCTTGCTCGGATACGCATGCGCAGAACACCTCAAAGTGATCTCGAGCTTAAAGTATTTTATTTACTGGTAATTAATTAGGGAAGTAAGGAACCATGACAAGTACTGATGTCACAGATAAATATATATAATCATAATACCTCTTCTCGCAAGGCAATAGGTTTAATTAACACTCATTAAACGAGAAGGGTCGACGTGTATTTATTTTACGTCGCAGTAATATTTACTGATGTAATCAATCTGATTAAATGATCGGGTTCAGTACGCAAAGGTACGCGATATAATTATACTCTTTCATAAAAAATAATACTTAGAAAGAAAAAGCAATTAACTGGATTCGATAATATTTCCAACAAAACGTGGAGGATTTCAAGTTTCAGCTTGACGCTGCCTCCCAGCGACATGAGGACTAGAAAGGATCTGGCAAAATATTGCCTTACTATAGAAACATTAATTATGTTAATTCTACGCATTAGTTATGTTAGTAAATGTTAATATTAGTAGCTAAAGGAGAATACACTGTTCGTTATTTCCAACATCCTCTAACATGCTGGCTTAAAAAGGTTCTTGTTGCCACATCCAATAGCTTATCTCCCCACGTTTCTTCATCTCCATGCAGTTCTTTGTTTTCGCAGTTTATCATAATGTTATTGAAATCTTCCATGATAAGCACACGAGATCAATTTCTATAGGCGACAGAGGCTGCCTTCTCAATTACATTAACTGCTATGTTATTTCTGTCATACTCCTGCCTGGGTCTTCTGTTATTTAGTAGGGGGTTATATATCACTACGACTACTACTCTTGGTCCTCCCATCGTCACAGTGCCTGTAATGTAGTCTCTGACCCCCGCGCAGCCTGGGATAACCAACTCCTCGAAACTGCATTCCTTTCTCACCGATCGGGCCACTCCGCCTCCTACCCTGCCTTCCCTCTCTCTTTCTATATTTCAGTGTGGTCCTGGGGAAACATTGCATTTGTTATGAGTCCTCAGAGTTTTGTTTCCGTGTATTTACTATTTATTATTTGTGCCTGCAGAATCGAGCTATGAGCTCTTGGACCCCGCCTTTCTGTGTGTAAATGTGTGTTTGTAGGGTGAAGGGTTTATCTATTAATTAGTTTTGAGACAATTTACAGAGTGGAGTCATTAAGTAACAAGTTGGTGTCTGGTCCGCCAGGGGAAGCCGAGTACGTGTCCACTGTTCCCACACAGCCTGGAGAGGCAGTCGGTATGTTCGTCACCTCCACTGAAGCCAACGCTCGTATCGTCAGTATCGACGCTTCTGCGGCTCTGGTAAGTGTTTTGTACTAGTGGTAAGAAGGACACTCCGGGGCATTGGTGAGCCCTCTGGTGAGCAGATCACCGTGGCCCTCTGGTGAGCAGGTCACCGGGGCCCTCTGGTAAGCAGGTCACCGGGGCCCTCTGGTGAGCAGGTCACCGGGGCCCTCTGGTGAGCAGGTCACCGTGGCCCTCTGGTGAGCAGGTCACCGGGGCCCTCTGGTGAGCAGGTCACCGGGGCCCTCTGGTGAGCAGGTCACCGGGGCCCTCTGGTGAGCAGGTCACCGGGGCCCTCTGGTGAGTAGGTCACCGGGGCCCTCTGGTGAGCAGGTCACCGGGGCCCTCTGGTGAGCAGGTCACCGGGGCCCTCTGGTGAGCAGATCACCGGGGCCCTCTGGTGAGCAGGTCACCGGGGCCCTCTGGTGAGCAGATCACCGGGGCCCTCTGGTGAGCAGGTCACCGGGGCCCTCTGGTGAGAAGGTCACCGGAGCCCTCTGGTGAGCAGGTTACCGTGGAGGAGGCTGCATCTCCTCGTCAGATGATCGGTGTATCTTTATCTTGCAGGAGGTGCCTGGCGTGCTCGCCTTCCTGGGAGCGGCGGACATCACTGGCCAGAACAACATCAAGGTCTTCGCTTGGTCCTCGCCTGAGCCGGTAGGTCGAACGCGCGGTCTATGTTGTCTTCTCATCACGCGTGAGAAATCCTTCGAGCCTAATAATGAGTTACAAGCTATCGGTGATGTTATTGACAATATATTTGTTTATTCTTCATGAATCAGCACGTGATGGTTGTTGGCCAGCACGAGGTGGTTGTTGGCCAGCACGTGATGGTTGTTGGCCAGCACGTGATGGTTGTTGGCCAGCACGAGGTGGTTGTTGGCCAGCACGTGATGGTTGTTGGCCAGCACGTGATGGTTGTTGGCCAGCACGAGGTGGTTGTTGGCCAGCACGTGGTGGTTGTTGGCCAGCACGTGATGGTTGTTGGCCAGCACGAGATGGTTGTTGGCCAGCACGTGATGGTTGTTGGCCAGCACGAGGTGGTTGTTGGCCAGCACGTGGTGGTTGTTGGCCAGCACGTGATGGTTGTTGGCCAGCACGAGATGGTTGTTGGCCAGCACGTTGTGGTTGTTGGCCAGCACGTGATGGTTGTTGGCCAGCACGAGGTGGTTGTTGGCCAGCACGTTGTGGTTGTTGGCCAGCACGTGATGGTTGTTGGCCAGCACGAGGTGGTTGTTGGCCAGCACGAGGTGGTTGTTGGCCAGCACGAGATGGTTGTTGGCCAGCACGTGATGGTTGTTGGCCAGCACGAGGTGGTTGTTGGCCAGCACGAGATGGTTGTTGGCCAGCACGTGATGGTTGTTGGCCAGCACGAGATGGTTGTTGGCCAGCACGTTGTGGTTGTTGGCCAGCACGAGATGGTTGTTGGCCAGCACGTTGTGGTTGTTGGCCAGCACGAGATGGTTGTTGGCCAGCACGTTGTGGTTGTTGGCCAGCACGAGATGGTTGTTGGCCAGCACGAGGTGGTTGTTGGCCAGCACGAGGTGGTTGTTGGCCAGCACGTTGTGGTTGTTGGCCAGCACGAGATGGTTTTTGGCCAGCACGAGGTGGTTGTTGGCCAGCACGAGGTGGTTGTTGGCCAGCACGAGGTGGTTGTTGGCCAGCACGAGGTGGTTGTTGGCCAGCACGAGGTGGTTGTTGGCCAGCACGAGGTGGTTGTTGGCCAGCACGTGATGGTTGTTGGCCAGCACGAGATGGTTGTTGGCCAGCACGAGGTGGTTGTTGGCCAGCAAGTGATGGTTGTTGGCCAGCACGAGATGGTTGTTGGCCAGCACGTTGTGGTTGTTGGCCAGCACGTTGTGGTTGTTGGCCAGCACGAGGTGGTTGTTGGCCAGCACGTTGTGGTTGTTGGCCAGCACGACGTGGTTGTTGGCCAGCACGAGATGGTTGTTGGCCAGCACGTTGTGGTTGTTGGCCAGCAAGTGATGGTTGTTGGCCAGCACGAGATGGTTGTTGGCCAGCACGTTGTGGTTGTTGGCCAGCACGTTGTGGTTGTTGGCCAGCAAGTGATGGTTGTTGGCCAGCACGAGATGGTTGTTGGCCAGCACGAGATGGTTGTTGGCCAGCACGAGATGGTTGTTGGCCAGCACGAGATGGTTGTTGGCCAGCACGTTGTGGTTGTTGGCCAGCAAGTGATGGTTGTTGGCCAGCACGAGATGGTTGTTGGCCAGCACGTTGTGGTTGTTGGCCAGCACGTTGTGGTTGTTGGCCAGCACGAGGTGGCTGTTGGCCAGCACGAGATGGTTGTTGGTCAGCACGAGGTGGTTGTTGGCCAGCACGAGATGGTTGTTGGCCAGCACGAGATGGTTGTTGGCCAGCACGAGATGGTTGTTGGCCAGCAAGTGATGGTTGTTGGCCAGCACGAGATGGTTGTTGGCCAGCACGAGATGGTTGTTGGCCAGCACGTTGTGGTTGTTGGCCAGCAAGTGATGGTTGTTGGCCAGCACGAGATGGCTGTTGGCCAGCACGTTGTGGTTGTTGGCCAGCACGTTGTGGTTGTTGGCCAGCACGAGGTGGTTGTTGGCCAGCACGAGATGGTTGTTGGTCAGCACGAGGTGGTTGTTGGCCAGCACGAGATGGTTGTTGGCCAGCACGAGATGGTTGTTGGCCAGCACGAGATGGTTGTTGGCCAGCAAGTGATGGTTGTTGGCCAGCACGAGATGGTTGTTGGCCAGCACGAGATGGTTGTTGGCCAGCACGTTGTGGTTGTTGGCCAGCACGTTGTGGTTGTTGGCCAGCACGAGATAATTGTTGGCCAGCACGAGATGGTTGTTGGTCAGCACGAGGTGGTTGTTGGCCAGCACAAGGTGGTTGTTGGCCAGCACAAGGTGGTTGTTGGCCAGCACGAGGTGGTTGTTGGCCAGCACGAGATGGTTGTTGGCCAGCACATGGTGGTTGTTGGCCAGCACGAGGTGGTTGTTGGCCAGCACGAGGTGGTTGTTGGCCAGCACAAGGTGGTTGTTGGCCAGCACGAGGTGGTTGTTGGCCAGCACGAGGTGGTTGTTGGCCAGCACGAGATGGTTGTTGGCCAGCACGAGATGGTTGTTGGCCAGCACGAGATGGTTGTTGGCCAGCACGAGATGGTTGTTGGCCAGCACGAGGTGGTTGTTGGCCAGCACAAGGTGGTTGTTGGCCAGCACGAGGTGGTTGTTGGCCAGCACGAGGTGGTTGTTGGCCAGCACAAGGTGGTTGTTGGCCAGCACATGGTGGTTGTTGGCCAGCACAAGGTGGTTGTTGGCCAGCACGAGGTAGTTGTTGGCCAGCACAAGGTGGTTGTTGGCCAGCACGAGATGGTTGTTGGCCAGCACGAGATGGTTGTTGGCCAGCACGAGATGGTTGTTGGCCAGCACGAGATGGTTGTTGGCCAGCACGTGATGGTTGTTGGCCAGCACGTGATGGTTGTTGGCCAGCACGAGGTGGTTGTTGGCCAGCAAGTGATGGTTGTTGGCCAGCACGAGATGGTTGTTGGCCAGCACGTTGTGGTTGTTGGCCAGCACGTTGTGGTTGTTGGCCAGCACGTTGTGGTTGTTGGCCAGCACGAGATGGTTGTTGGCCAGCACGTTGTGGTTGTTGGCCAGCACGAGGTGGTTGTTGGCCAGCACGAGATGGTTGTTGGTCAGCACGAGGTGGTTGTTGGCCAGCACGAGATGGTTGTTGGCCAGCACGAGATGGTTGTTGGCCAGCACGAGGTGGTTGTTGGCCAGCACGTTGTGGTTGTTGGCCAGCACGAGGTGGTTGTTGGCCAGCACGAGGTGGTTGTTGGCCAGCACGAGATGGTTGTTGGTCAGCACGAGGTGGTTGTTGGCCAGCACGAGATGGTTGTTGGCCAGCACGAGATGGTTGTTGGCCAGCACGAGATGGTTGTTGGCCAGCACGAGATGGTTGTTGGCCAGCACATGGTGGTTGTTGGCCAGCACAAGGTGGTTGTTGGCCAGCACAAGGTGGTTGTTGGCCAGCACGAGGTGGTTGTTGGCCAGCACAAGGTGGTTGTTGGCCAGCACTAGGTGGTTGTTGGCCAGCACATGGTGCCAGCACGAGATGGTTGTTGGCCAGCACGAGATGGTTGTTGGCCAGCACGAGATGGTTGTTGGCCAGCACAAGGTGGTTGTTGGCCAGCACAAGGTGGTTGTTGGCCAGCACGAGGTGGTTGTTGGCCAGCACGAGATGGTTGTTGGCCAGCACGAGATGGTTGTTGGCCAGCACAAGGTGGTTGTTGGCCAGCACAAGGTGGTTGTTGGCCAGCAGGTGTTTAATATGAGCCATAAGACACCATTCCTTTACTCTCCCAGTATTTCTGAAGTACTAAATCGTTCAATTTCCAATACGATATAGCATACATATATGTTTATTGAGCAACCTATTCCTTAAACTAATTTGAACTATAATGAGTTATTCATATAGAGTAGGATACCACTAGTGGTAATGGAAATATGCAACCCGTTCTCGCAAATTTAATAAGTCAATATTGACTTATTAACTACGTGCATAGGTGATATTCTAAACATAATAGATACCCTTAAAAAGATTCATAGAAAACACTGACCTTACCTAACCTTGTTAGTATCTTAAGATAAGCATCTTATTGCTTCGTAATTACAATTATTACTTAACCTATACCTATTATAGGTTAGGTAATAATTGTAATTACGAAGCAATAAGATGCTTATCATAAGATACTAACAAGGTTAGGTAAGGTCGGTGTTTTCTATGAATCTTTTTAAGGGTATCTATTATGTTAAGTATGTCACCTATGCACATATTTAATAAGTCAATATTGACTTATTAAATTTGCGAGAACGGGTTGCAATATTAATTTGCCAGTCCCAGTGACGCTGTGATATGACACTCGTTCGGCTCTTCACAAGCAATTGGGCAGGGGTGGATTGACTAGGCGCCAATTCTTAGTTGTACGCCTCTTTTCACCCAGCAGTGAATGGGTACCTGGTAGTTAAACGATTTGTCGGGTCGTATTCCAGGGAAAATTAAAATTAAGGACCTGCCCGAAACGCTAAGAGTGCTAGTAACTATATAAGAATGTAAGATTTTGTGTATATATTTATAAAAAATAAAAAAAATTGCATACTAAAGTGCTGGTGATTAATTAAACGTGGAACTGAGGTAACAAGCACATCTAGTATTTTGCATATGCATACTACTAAATGTGCTTAGGAATTTTGCCTCAATTACTCAATTGTGAAGTAGAGTAATTAACGACAGAAAGCCGTACATAACATTAGCAGGCTTGGCTATTCTTTTAGTTGATATAAATATATTCTACAATATTTTGAATTCTTTTGATAATTTGCAAAGGAGAATTTAGTTATTAATATTTAATACAATATGCAAATCTAGCAAGGCCTATGTAATCTTATTTAGGGATAATACGAGTATGCAGAGGCTGAGATGTAATCTAAAGGAAGTTGTATGTAACTTGTATAATCGTTTCTAAAGAGTTCCGAGTTGTGTTATTGACATGTACACGTTAGTGATGTAAGCTAAGAGAGAGTTAGAAAATTAGGAATTAATTGTCTAAGGATATTCCCATTTAGTCTGAAGCACGTTTTTTTGTCAGGTGGTGGCAAGCACCACCAGACCAT